AAAGAGAGAAAATGCCAAGAGTAAGAGAAAAATAAAAAAAGCTTAAAAAAAAAGAAAAGAGAAGAAAATAAAAAGAAAGGAAAGAAAAAAAAAATAAAACCAAAAAAAGCAAAAGCAAAAGGAAAAAAAGCAGAGATTGAGAGTGAGAGCAATGGAAAAAGAAGCAAAGAAAAGAAAAGAAAAGAAAAACAAGGAAAAAGAAAAAAAAGGAAGAGCAAAGATTGGTAGACTCCAGATACTGTATGACTCAGACAGCAGTTTTGTGGAGAGAAGGGGAAGGATCTGTTATTTTTGTTTTAATACGGAAATGTGCCTGAGCCTGGATCTGCAGGGACCGATCAGTGACGGCACTCTAACGGTGGGGCTAACGCAAGCAAGTCCTCAAACTCATGGCCAAGGGCCACGATTTCTCGACAAAGACCATTGATTCTGCTCCCAACGCTCTCTTTCTTCAACATCTTTAGCCATTTTGCCCATCTTTACAGCACTCACCTTTCTGAGGCCGATTTTGGCTCCTTCTTCATATAAATAGAAGTTACTTCCCCCTCTTTCCACGATGCTTTCCTCTTCCCCGCCCTGTGCTTTCGCTCTTTCCGACCGAGCATCACTTCCGTAATAGCCTCTGCTAAATTAGCCGCGACCCACCGCTCTTCTCTTTTAGTTATCCCACTCTCTCTGCGGCTGGCCCGCTGAAATGCCATCTCTTTCTTTCTGCCTTCCTGTAAGTGCACCCTCGTCCGTGGTTCCAAACCGCTCACATCTCGCGTCGCAGATTCATCCAACGGAGGTGCTTAGTTTGGATGAGGACACTTGCTCTGATGTCAGTAGATTACCCTTAAGCTTCATTGAAGTGGATACTTACGCTAGTCAAGTTGGTCAACCGGTTTGGTAGGAATTTGAGACAGTTACTATCGCTTTACGTGGTACAGAGTTCGAGCGTGTTAGAAGGAGCGAGAAAAGGGGGCCATATTCGATGGCACATCTTAACAACCCAGGCTGGGCAATCATCGAATGCTCGGGATGGATGTCTGAAGACATATGATGTGTCGGTTGCAATAGACGTGAGTTCGGTATTTCTCTGGTGCTTGTCTGACTACTCACTATCTGTCACAGCAATCAGTGCTAGGGGTAGTTCCCCATGTTCTAGACGACTCGGAGCTTAGCAAGGTGAGTCCTCTAGAACTAACCATGGGTATATTCTTACCTTGTGATAGCTTGGCCGGGCCCTCGGGGATGATTTTGACGATATCCGGAAACTGAGCTGGGTCCAGTTAGTCGGGGTTCTTCAGTGGCTTCAGGAGGCCAAGATGATCGAAGGCTTTAGGGTGCAGGAGAACCAAACAAAGGCTGAAGTGAACACTCTAGGATTATTAGGCTTGTGCCCATCTCTAACTTTCCGCTCTTATTCAGTCTAACCATGTGTTGATCCCATAGGAAGCTATAACACAGACCTTTCGCTCTGCACACCACCTACTTCCATTGACCCTTCCTTGCTGACCAGCGATCACGCATTGTCGAGCCCTGAGAACCTTCGCCCCCACGCCGTCGACGAGCTGGATCAGATATGGGACCAAATCATAGCGCTACCGGAAGACCAGAATACCACCGAATTCTCTACCCCGGAGCACGTAGTGACACTCATGGGAGCGGGGACGTCTCGCATATTCGATGCTTTAACTTATCCGACACCCTCTCCCTCTGTCCATTCGCCCCAAGTGTGTCGGTCGGTAGCCCCAACAAGCCCTGCTGACAGGATAACGCAGTACCGGTCCATTGCTACCCCATTGTCGATTGGTAGCCCTTGTTCATCCCTAGTAATGACACCCACGGGACCTGCTACGCCTCCTGGGTCTGATACTGAGACTTCATGTTATCCGACCCCATCTACATCTTATTCTCAATCTCCTCCAGCGGTAGAGTCACTCACGCCTCTGAGTCCTGACATTCCGAGACGGAGAAAATCCCGATGCTTAGAGTTGTGCAGATTTGGGAAAGATGGCACAGAGCTCCTCGAACAGAGTAAAATTACGCAAATCCTCCAAGCGGAAGCTGGAATTCTCGCACAGGACCCTCTCAGACCGCTGCAGCCCTTTCTAGGACTCGGCAAAGCAGATACATGTTCCTCATTAAGCGCGCTCGGACTTCCTGTTGTGTGGATGGGCCTAAAAGGGGCTGTTAATTACTATAGACTACTTGAAGCCGTGAAGGGAAAAAAAATTGTTCTTCGCCCCTTCGCGAAGCACATAGCGCAAACATTATTTTATCTCAACTACAAGTGGTTGGAGAAACACATGAATCAGGGTAGAGCCTCTGTTGCTACGTTAATGCTTAATAGCTGCTCTGAGGAACCATCAAAGTCTCGTCGTGACAATATCACCGGCTATCATGTGCGGCGAGGAAAAATTTGTTGGACGCTTGCAGCGTGCTTGGGCGCCGGTATCTTGTTGCATGGTGGTGATGCCATACGCACTATGTATGTACTCCGGCGACATCCCTTTCGTCAACTAACCAGACCCGTAGTATCAAGGAGACTTTCAGTGTCGGCCAGCTCAATGTTTTTATATCCTTTGTCTTGCGCACCCGGCCGGGTAGCGTTCGTCTTTTTCATTCACTGGAACCTGTGGTAAAGGCAATCATACTGGGAGTGCCTGCAGTTGATCTCCGCCCGGTTGTTCTGGCTGATAATAATGTCCTTGTCAGACAAGAGGAACTAACGTATGCCTATGCAGCGGACCAGGAAGCCTTGACAGACCAGACAACGGAAGAGACATGGCTGGCAATAAATGCCGAGTCTATTGCAAAGGAGAAAATGTCTGAGTTTCTTCCCAATTTCTGACCGTACCATCCTGATTTCGCTGCTTCTGTCTTTACTTAGCGTAGTGTTCCTCCTTTTCTGCATAATGTTTTAAATTAACCGGTTTGAAATTATACGAAATACTACTTGCTTTCGCCCAGATAAGATAACTAAAAATATTCAGGACATGTCCTTGTCTTCTATCTCGTTTAATTTTGGATCCATGGTTTCGTGATAAAAGTGCGTGTAGTGATAAGGCAGAGACGGGCAAGCCCGACTAGCGTGCCTGCAGACCAGCGGTGCTTCGTGAGTAGGGAATGCTGTTTATTCGTAAGATACCGATTATCAATGTAGATAAGACGTCCAGCTGACCTTTCTTAAGTCTTGGATGGTTGCGACCGATGCCGTTGCTGACAGGAACTCTAATGAGTCAGACTGCCAACGGGTACCGTCAATCCCAATCACACCATCAGGCTTCAGATACTTCTGCATAAGAAACATTGTGATATTTGCTAACGATCGGAGAATCTGCGTCTGAGATTGTTGTGGCTCGCGTTCGATACAGTGCTCTAAAGCCCCTATGCAAGACCATAAGTAAAGAGGAAGAGTAGGTGTGGAAACGATCTGTACCAATCTGAATAGTTCCATCTTGCCCCAGGAGGATATTAGAACACGTCAAGGATTGATGCTCAAAGCCATTTTCTAGTAAGTGCGATACTCCATTAAGCACCTCTTTCAGTTAGCGCTCTTTTTCTTGATGCGGTGATCCTGTTTTCGTACCTGTGCAAGTATAGAAGCCAGCTGTAGCTCAGACGGGAATATATCACAGGCGACCAGGTGTTCCAAAGTCAGAGGCAGGTCATCAACGGTAAAATATGTCATGCCATGGTCCTTGAAGATTTCGTTTGCAGAGATAACGTTGGGATGGTGGGTCTGCCGGAGTACCTGCAGCCATATATCTGCTTTCTTCTTGGAGAATGCACGGACAGCAATCACCTTAGAAGGGTCCTCTTCATGGACGGCAATTGATACGGGACCTGCAAGATCACAGGTAAAAAGATCGTTCAATGTGCCCCAGGGTGACTCTCTCCGGATAACGGGCGATTGAGCTGCCTGGCCCACTCTTTGGGAGCTGCTCTGGGGAACGTCTTGTGCATAGCCAAGAAGTATATTCTTAGAATTTTCTTGCTTCTCCCCTTGCTTTGTCCCCTTGGTTGGTTTGTGGTTAACCTGACCTTGAGACTCCTGCGCGGACACTGACTTGGGCATTGGCCGTTTAGCCTGAAAAGACTCGGCGTAAAGTTGTGTGAGTGGCCGGTCGTCCATGGTATGTGATGCCTTCAACCAGAGAGATAAGTTCTTATAGGAAAACAAGATGATCAATATTCCTGGATCCGTTTCGGATGGTGGCTTCCTTTATGGGAAAAAAAAGTATGGTCTTTAAAAGAGGGATGCGCTGATGTGTGGGGAAATTGGCGCTTCAGCGCTTCAGCGCTCAACCCGCAACAACCCCAGTAAGAGTACAAGCAAGTACCACAAAACTTCAACTCCGCTGAACATAAATAGTTCTGTCTCGCCTCCGAGCATCGACAAAAAAAAGGCCGGAGTCACTTGTGAACTTAAAGCTATGGATTTGTTGACAGATACCGAACGGCGATTAACCGTAGAACGACTCCTAAAGTTCCAAGGCACCGCCAAAATCGACCTTAACCAAATCTCTCTCCAGCCACTCATGAGCCGTGAGATTGACCAGAAGAACGTGGAACGATTACGTGATATCTTTGCTAAAGATGGGTGCCAACGACTCGATATTCGAAATCACGTGACTGCTGTTGTCTTTAGGCAGCACCTCGAAAGAGCATGCCATGCCGCAGGATTGACCCCCGAAGAACTTAAAACTTGTCAACCGCAATACCCCCGCCTTCTTTTTCGTAGGCATCAAGTACAATGCCTCCATGGACAACATAGATTGAAAGCTGCTGAGGAAACCTTACCTCCCTCAGACCGGTGGTGGACGGTGGATATATATCTGGATGGTCTGATCTCAGAAGCATAATTTCCCAATCCATACTAATCCTCTCTTGTAGACATAAGCCCTGATCTAAGAACTGCACTCATAGATGAATATGCAAACGAAAAGGCTCCGACTGATGGAGAAGTGTACCGGAAAATCCGCCAGTATCAGCAGGAGGCGAACGCGCTCTTTCAGAATCGTTGGTGGACCCGATTATCGCCGAACAAAGCCAAGCGGCTGAGGCAGCTCACTTCCCCAGATAACACACATCTCTGTGCAGCATTTGATGCGTTACTTGCGATCCCCGGGCTCTGGAATGGGATGAGCCTTGGGTTGTTAAACACAGTCCTGGCTTTAAAGTGTGATGAAGTTTGTCCCACTCGTCGCCATCTGCAGGCTATCCCTGACTTATTGTCTTAGGAACTCATTCACTACTTGACACATGTGAAGAATTTTTGGGCAACCCTTGTCAACCATGACCGCACTCGGATGACCCTTATTGACCTCCACACCGTTGACACCCTGCAGCTTTATGCTCCTCGTGCATCTAAAGTTGACCGGAAGACGGTGAAGGGGAAAATCCTCGGCGGGGAGGTCTTCTCCAACTTTAGCCGGTCCGAACGTGCGGCCATATGGAAGACGATCCGGACCCATGAAATGTGCGATGGCATCATCCCCTCCCTTCATACCTTTTTCCGCGATATTTCCTACCTGGAACTCTGTGCCAACGCCGTGAAACGGCTGGTTGTTTTGAACAAGCAACAGCCGACCGTGCGAAGCGCGCTAGTTCATAGCTTTCGATCCCGTCGCGTTAGCGGATCTTGTCTAATCCAGACATCGGAGACTTCTTTCCGACGACAGCCTGGATCTAGGGATGAACGTATATCCTCTGGTTATCGTCAAATCTGGATGTACGCGATGCGACACTACCCGGACATGGCCAAGGATCTTCAGCGCGGCCCAAAGGCTAATCCCACGCGGGCAAAGGCACGAGCGAGGGCGGACGAGAGCGTGATTCACGGAATGGCCACCCTTGCCAAGCAGCTAGGATTTCATACTCCACCAATTAAGGCGATCCTACGACAATCACCTGACCAGCAGATTGCCCGGGCTGCCCTGCTCAAAGCACGGAAGCCGGATCACTACCACTATGACCATGAGACTTTCGAGTCTCTTGTTGAGCAGATTGCTGGTTATTTTGCGCTCGCTATCCCAAACGAGGCCGCACCGGTGGCGTATATCACGGGACGGGCAATTCAGCTAAAGGAGCGCTGTGGAGTGCCTCAGGAGCAAACCCAGCAACTAGACCGTCCGCATATCTTCTTTGACACCCTACACTCGGCAACGGTGTCGCAAAGAAACCTCTCATCGCTGGAGGTGAGACGAAGCGTTTACTACGCCTTTTTCGGCAAGCCCTCCCCAACAACCTCCCCACGTGCTTCTCCGGGGCATCCATCGTCCAGCGAGCCTCTTTCACCATTGTTTATCCCCAGCGATGTTCCGAGATCAGAGTCGGAACCGGCATACGACAATATGTCGATAAACGGCTCTGATGAGGCGTCATTCCATGGCCGTCAGGATCGTTCGGAAACCCCTGAAGAACAACATCAGAGGCAAGGAGATCGGTGGCATCGACACCAAGAAAGACAGCCGGCGGTGGAGCACGGCCCACCTCTTCCCCAAGAGCCTTCCATATCAAGTTCCATAAGAGCGGCGTCTACTATCTCTGAGGTCATGGATATGGATTGCGAAAGGTCTGACGCAGAACATCCGATTCGACGGCAGATTGCCGAACAACCGCCGGCAGGTAGCAGAGGAATGGATTCTGACAGTGAGGAACCGGAAGATACGGAGATCGATGAAGATGACCTACGTAACCGATCAGAGGGTGGGAGTCCTGGGGTGGAGGACACAGCCGCTGTGGTTCATTCGATATCAGGGGCGCCAGACGATACGGAGATGTCCAGCGTACCAGACGAGGGAGCAGATGCAGTGGACGGGGCCATGGACATGGGTTCATCCGCACTGACCCAATCCGACTCGGTGGAAGACCGTGCTGGAATTCCAACTACATTATCACACCAGTCAAGTGTTCAGTCACCAACAATCCCCACAGTGCGTAAGGATGCGACATGGGAACCATATGATGCTACACAGAAAGGCAACTGCAACGTGACAAAAAGATCGCTTGCCGCTCGAGGCCAGTCGATCGCACAGGGTACTATGACCAACTCGGAGCCAAGCGCGGAGCAACGGCCTGGATTTGGTCCGTTGCAACCCATCGCAGAGCACACTGAACTGGAAGTAACTCGGTCGGTCGACGAGCCGGATGGCGCGGAGCGTATTTCTGGAGGACCATTACCAGCTGAAGCTCAGCAAGGAACAGTCGGAGAGCAAATTCCGCCCGGAACGGAACTCATCGCTGGAGCGGGTGGAGAATCCCAAGAAGATCTAGTTGCCCGGGAGCGCGCGGATGCTCTCGACCAGCTACAAACACCTGGGGCTATCCCCCGGCCTCTGACTGAGCTTCCCCTTGACTTGCCGGATCTGATTACACGATTGCGGGACGAGGGAAGCCAGCTGAAGGATGAAAGTGTACCCCTTGCCAATCATCCAACGCAGGGACATCCGGAACCAGGGGCTGGAGTTGCTCCGCCACGTACTGAACCCCCCGTGCCCAGTGCGATGGAGAACTCGCGTGGTAGTCCACAGGACGATGAGAATGTCCCACAGTCTCCCCGTCAGCGCCTGAGAACCAGTCCGCAACCACGCAAATCAGATGGCGTGCGGAAACTGCGGGCGAAGAACCGACTGGCGCATCAAGATCCTAATCGGGCAGGAACTCGGGATGCCGCCATCGCAGATGAGATATGGAATAGTGATGACGGGGACGAAAACTTGGCCGGTGTTGCTGACGCGGGCCCCTCTCCACTGGACACCGAACGATACCCAGCCAATACACCCAAACCCGAACAGGCTCAACGCGAAGCGATTGACAGACAGGAAGAGGAGGATTCCCTGTTTGACACTCCGCATTCGTTGGAAGAAGCGGATTCCCAAGAGATGGAAGAGGCCCAGCGGCGGGTCACGATAACCTTTCAGGTCTACGAGCGAAGTCAATGGAGCACTACGGATGTGGTGTCGGTGAGCCTTGATCACCTTGCCGAGGCGCAAACTCTCGCCGACGGATATGCACGGGACCCCAACCGGAATGCGCGTTTCTACGATGGCCAACTTCGCAAAGTTGCGGTCGATGAGTGCATTCGCGCAGCGATTGAGGATGGTAGTTTCACCGTCCGGATGAGTTTTGGAAGGGATCTCATGGTGACCCGGCAGCTTGTCGCGTCTATAGCACCACTTAGGGCTGTTGGCGGTGATGAGCCAGCACGTGGGCAGGACCAACCTGGAAAGCGGGTGAAAGCCAACGCCGGCACTGCGTTGACCGGACCCGTTCAGACGCCGGAGGATCCAGCTCCGACGGCGACCAGCGCACCCACCTCGAGTGTGAGCGAGCGACGCAACCGCAAAACACTCACGCCTCGGATCGTCGCTCGGCGGGCGCAGGATGTGCGGCCCCGTCAGGCAGAGGCAACTCCTCAGCCCGTGACGATCGTGTTCCGGGTCCGAGAAACCGACGGGTGTTGGAAGACGGCGCATGAGGTGGTCGTTGATCGGTCGGATCCATCGCAGGTAGAACGGGTGGCGAGAAAGGAGGCGAGAAACCGGCAGGCAACGTTCTACGATAAGAATCTGCGGCTGCTCACGCCCGCACAATGCTTCAAGGCGGCCATTGAGGATGACACCAATACCATCTTTATGCACTTCGGGGGGGAGCTTGCGATGGACGAAGACACGATGAGGTCGATCGCACGCGACGTGGAACTGTGAGGCCAAGGACCTCCCTTCGTTACATTGGGCGGTCGGGAGACTAGAAGGGCCGCAAACATGTAGGCAGACGACTGTCTGGGCCTGGCACCCGCCATGGATGCCAGTTGGCGGTCCTCCGTCTATGGTGGTCGTACGACCGGCGCCCTATGATGAAGTCGGTCCGAAGCACAGGGTCTGGCGCTTCTGGTGCTAGACCACTAGACCTTCGCACTCGATCTTACTGCACAGTTCATCGGTACATGAGCCTACCACATTGGGCCTCTGCTCCACCCCCTCCGACCTTCTAGGCGATCAGACCACGAGCCTATGGCTGATTTCGGCTTATAGCCCCGGTCCGATCTTTCACTGGGGCTTCAGGCCAGATCGGCCATATGTCTAGCGGCGTACATCCCTCTGGGTCTTAGGTTGGCCGTTTCTGAGCTAGGAGTCTCACCGACTTGGGATAATTGGTCCTGGAATGAGCTGATTCCCATGTCCGGTGTACTCAGGACTGTAATTCCCATGTCGGGTATACCCAGGACCGTAATTCCCATGTCGGGTATACTCAGGAATGTAGTTCCCGGGTCATGAGTTATGATTGGTGATACTTAGTGTCTAGCTTATGTATATACTATACTTCGCAATTATGTTCATTTAAGGATTGCTTCCAGAGGCTAGCAGCTTTTGGAGGCCAACATACTCTTAATTTCAAGGACTAAACTACATCGTATTCGTTCCAACAAACATGCCTCTTCTAGATGAAATAAAAGTCCGTTCAGCTCTCTGTTAAACAGTAAGAACTGGAAGCTGGTGGTAATACAGTGAAATGATACAAGGTAATGTACATTTTCACAGTATAATCACTTAGACATAGGGCATTTTCAGAGTAATTCGTTGGCCATCTGAGGCTCAAGCGCTGAAGCGGGGCACCAGATGTTATCCAATAGAGATGCGTCATTTGCGGCCAGCGTTGCGCTGAAGGCGCTAGTGTTTCAGGCATTCCAAGATGTCGGAGCCGTCCCAGGACTATATCGATCCTAATTGCTCTCTTAACTGCTTGCTGTACATATCCTTTCTACCCCATCCCTTTATCAAAGATCACTCCGAGGAAATTGGCTGTATTGGCTGATTCAATAAGCTGACCGTTCATGAGGATCTGCCCTACACTATATACTTTCTTGCGTCGGTTTAAATAAATTAGCTCAGTCTTCTCCGCAGAGAAGTACACAACCATTCGTCGCACACACCTCTTAGTCCGTGGGACATCTTCTTCCTGGATCTTCTTGATATTGTCTTCGGCCGGTAAACTGGTTCGCCACCGGAAATAGTCATCATAAAGACAGATATTCCACCATTACTGTCCATCGGTTAATCTACAAAATCTGAGTTGAAGAAATCAAATAGAATTGGTAAAATAGCGATCCTTGTGCGAGCCCAGTGTATTCTAGAGAAAGGATTTCAGTCTCAAAGTCGTCAAATGTAACACTAGCTTGTCGGCTCTCCATAAAGCTACGGTTCCATTTCCGGGCGTTCAACGGGATGCCTTTCGCCCGCAGTTGAGCACCGAGACTGATCTTGTTGACCCCGTTATATGCACCTTTTAGGTCGAAGGCAATCAGTGTGACTACCCTGGATCGTACCCATGCTCGATCAATTGAAGTACAGCGAAATTCAAAATCGGCGCCTGGCTCTCATACACTTCCATTGTTAATGCCAAGAAATACCAAGCCGCCTTGGAAGAGCCCAAAGTAGCTTGCTCCAGGCTTCGGTATTGTCTCGTATCAGAATATCTTATCACAGATGACTGTCATATTACTGGTGAACACGCACTTCGCACGCTGTGGGCCACGAAACCATAAAATGCTCAATGTAGCCTTCAATAAGCAATCGCTGGAGGTGGAACCGTAAAGCAGCGCTTAAAGGACCAAATAAAAGGCTTAAAGCATGTAGCTTGATGGCTAAATAAGGTGGGGAAGTGCCCCCATGGCAAACATGAAGTGTCAACGTTGAGAGAGCAGGTGGCAGTTATGTACCAGATCCTATACCCTCCTTCTAGAATCCTTCCACTATCATGCTTTCAGCTCGCTCATGATAAATTTCAGAGAAGTTCCAGCAGATCTCTTTCCAGGGTCGTGCACAGTTTGGATCCCAAACCCACGACTCTAGGCCAAATGCATATTCTCTATTGACAAGCCGCCCGAGCTTTTGCCTTAAACTTAGACGATTTGTGGCCAGGTCATATCCCCACTGCCTATAATCAGCTAGTTGATCGATAAGATGATCAACTAAAGGCTCTCCATTAATTGATGGCGAAACATGATCCAGCAGACTCTCTAAGAAGCTTGATAGAAGGTGGTGATAATCGTCGACCGAAAGTTTCTCCATCCCGAATGTCTTGAAGTGGGCTAAATTCTTGCTCTCTCGAAAGAAAGGTCGTAGAAACATTTTGTAAGGTTCCTGTTCAGTGTTCACCATTTGGTTGCAGGGTACGAAGTTAAGCAGAGCTTCTTTCGGTATAAAATCTAAGCATAGGTATTCATCTGCATTATGCGCCCATTTTCTCGACAACTCGCTGATAATGGAGCCTTTGAACCTAGGCTTACTATCAAGAAAAAGAAGTAAATCTGAAACCCGCCATACTCGAACTTTTATCTCGTGCATTTTAGATGTATCGAATATCGCTAGGCCACTTTGCTGTGAATCTGTGGCGATTTGGTGCTTTTCAAACGATCTATGTAACGTCCATCGGAAGTCAGCGCTAAGAGAGAGAAATGGCGAGATGTAGTAATTCGTATCTAACGGTGTTCGCCCCTTGTTGATCTGAGTTTTCTGGAGGTGCTGTGATATTTCACCAGACAAATCCTGAATGGTGGGCAATTCATCTTCTAGGTCGTATACTGATACTCGAAGTTCACAAAACTCTTCCCATTCCTGGTAGAGATGAAGATCTGATCCGAATGTGTCACAGTAGTTTTCCGTGAAATCATCGATAAATCGAGGAAATAATTCACCATGCATGTGCGCTCGGAACAAGATCTTAGGGTACGGCTTTTGACGTTGTTTCATGTCCATAAACGATTCCACTTTAACTCCAGTTAGCTATAATATCACTGTAATTGATATGGACAGACCTACATTCTCTCCAATCAATACTGTGCATCAGTTTCTCAGCAAATTCAGCTGGACTGTGCGGGTTATGAACATATGAAGCTTTCACTTTATATATTGCATCTGATAAGCTCATAATGCTATCTGAGATTTCACCTAGATGTTGGGGTGATTCAGAATATTCATAGAGGTAGTCGCTAACGGCGCGAAGAATATGTGTAGCAGGTTGGTTACAAGCCATATTGGTCAAGATTGAGCCTTAAGAGGTCTACTTCTAGATACTATATTGTTGGGTTGGGGGCCGGGGGCGGGGGCGGGGGAGCATTAGTTAGAATATTGCAAAGGATACAAAATGCCCTATTAAGAATGAAGGTTCTTCGCTGAGAGTGAAGACTAGAGACTATTGATAAGACACAAAATAAAATAAAAACAAAAAACAACCCCCCCCCCTTCCCCAGCTAGATAAAGCTAAACGGGGATTGACACGTCACCATATATGACTAATAGGTATTAAGTAGACGGTCAGATGACATGCCGATATGACGTGGCCAAGGCAAAGCTGTGAAAAGGTAGGTAAGACGCTTTCTAAGGGGAAATATGGGACGATGCATGGAGGAACGGCCTGTATCTATAGGCAATGCTACAGTGAGCTGCGACATTAGCTTGCCCATCTCACACTTTTGTGATTTCTATAAAACTCTAGATGCTAGGTTACTAAGTCATTCCACAAAATACTATTGGTCTAGTGATGTGTTTCGCAACCATCACTGGTTTAGATCCTATGCCAAGATTACTTTAAGAATGAAGCAGAATTTTGCTGGGTATGTTGCTTTTGTAGCTTTGCAGAGTATGATAAATAAAAGCCAAGCTAAATGCAGATAAAGTAGGATATGTACAGGAAGAAAAATGAGCGCGTGAGGTCCGTTTATCGCAAGGCCCTGTTATAGTTGAGAAATGTAGTAGGCTAAAATTATTGAACAAAATATGTAATTAACGCCCTAGAACCCTAAGGCCAAGGCAGAACCAGTTCCAAGGCATTCCAGGAGCGAAGGAGAAGTGTGTGTGGTAACAATCCTGTCTCATACGATCTGGCGCATCTGAAGAAGAGGTCTTTGCGACGATCCAGAGCACAAATATTTAGCATGAAAGGAAGTTACTCATCACGATTTTGCATATGGTATTTTATAATTGCACTTGATTTACGCGATGGATAGTCCTTTTTAATGGAAGTGTATCATCTCCAGTAGGTAGAATGAATATATTGCCAGATACAAATTCTAATATACTAAAATTTCATGGCCGTGTCTTCTACTGGGAAGCCTTTATATTGATTATCAGGCCTTGAGATAGCTAGTGAGCAGATATCTTCCTAATAAGTTCCTTCTGTATCTCACTCCTGCATCCAAATAATACTATGTTAATGTAAGTAATCAATGATCTTTTTTGTCAATACGACACTAAAAGCAGACATATGAAACAGCCAACATCTATCGATGTGTCCAAATCAGATGTGGAAATGCAGCTCCATAAAGTACTGCAAGTAGAGCCTCATTCGTCCTTTCCACTAGACTCCCCACATATAGGATGCTGAGTATTGTCTTGCAGATAGCCTTCGATAGTATTCTTGATATCCTCTTTTGTTCCTCCATCTCGGATCAGGCTGACAAGCTGATTCACATCTGCATCATCACACTCACCGATAACCTGATACAGTTGATGGATAAATGTGCGGTAATATTGAAGCTCTTGTTCCAATTCCCTGAGATGTGTCTTCTTACGCTTGTCATGTCGCAGGTCAATAACACATTCACGGTTATGAAGGGTACACGGTTCGCATGGCGTATAACCGTTGCACTGGGAAGAGCAGGATGTCAGAACTATTTACTATCATTGTTCAGCGAACTAATAGATAAAACAAAAACCACCTTTATTCGCCGCCTGCGACACTCGGTGCAAGCGGCAGGCGATCGAATTCCTCTCACACTGCACGGCTCAACATCCTTCTCTTTGCTTTGCTGTACGTATTCAGGGCGTGGCTTAAGAGGACGCAAGGCTGGAGCACACTCTTCTGGCGACATACTCTAGGAAATTCGATAGAGTTCGTTATGAGCGAATGAGCAGATAGGATTCAGTTGATAATGGGTATATATTCAACCCCAATTAGGAAGGCGTTGCTCCGCAAATCAGCCACCGTGCCTGGTTAGTCACTTTGAATGTGGATACAGGAGAAACTCTGAAGTCGAGTTGGTGAAGTTTACTAAGCGGTTAGCTAGTTAAGTTTTGGCTGGAGATAAACTAATATGGACTAGTTAGTATGATATAGGTCGGTTGTTAGTAAGCAAAAAGCGATATGTTTTAGCGAAACATGTAATATAATATCATTACTGTCATGCAAGACTTTAATACCATACAATACCTCGTTCAAAGAACCAAATGCTTCCAGAAGAGGTTAGTGGGTTCTTGGCATAGGGCTGGGAAACAATCCAAGGATACAAGACCCGGGCGCCGGTTTTGAATTTTAGTGTAAAATAGAAGTCCGTCCAGCTCTCTGTTAAACAGTAAGAACTGGAAGCTGAGTAGTGATACGGTGAACTGATATAAGGTAGTCTATATTTTTACGGTATACTCTCTTAGAAACAGAGCATTTTCAGAGTAATTTGTTGACTATAATGTGGGGGCCAAGCGCTGAAGCGGGGCGTCAGATATTATCCAATAGAAGATGGATACGCAATGTGAAACCAGCCCCGCGCTGAAGACGATAGTGCTATAGGGCTAAGGCGCCTAACACATCTTCGTTCAGAGAGAAGCCTATCAAGGCCTACGACCAATCAATCCACGTCTGGCCTTCAGTGGTTCATGAAGCTGATGTTTGTCCGTGAACAAAATGACTGGTAATCCATTATATAAAGCCAGTTGAACTTCGTGTAACCCATTGGAGGAAATCTTGCCCCTCTCAGCTCTAATCATGACTCCATGCAACAACCGGTAAGGATGAATGAATTTCCTGGATGAGATATCACTAATAATAGTGCAGAGTATTTCAGTCCAAGCTCCTGAAGTTTACCATCGGCACTGATCGTGAAGAAGTTATCATCCATAGTGATATACTCAAATCACATTCGACGCCCTGGTTCGACAGCGATGGCGGTAGTTTTGCTGGTGATGAATCTATCATAATCAAGGACACAGATAAATATATCTTTAGTCTTGCCTGTCAGTACTTGTACACTGGAGACTACTCTATTACGATTCCCGGCGACACGCCACCTCCCGGCCTGGCTTTTGGTGGACGAGAAAAGGTGCAGCAGGCCCGTGTACTCGAAGGATGTCTCTTTCGAGACACAGAGACGGTGGAACAATTCGCGGAATACCTTGTACGGCGGATTCAGCCACGGCCCTCTGAGGGTTCGCAAGGTAGCTATAGTCCTACGATGGATTATACCGAAATGCTTCTCACCCATGCTCGCCTTCATGTTTTTGCGGCAAAATATGGACTACAGGAGCTGCGTGACATCTGCCTCTTCAAGATATTACATCTCCTGCATACTTTCCCAATATGCCAGGATCGCACTGGGGATATTGTTCGGTTGTTTGACTTTGCCCTCCGCGCGGGCACTGAGCGGTGCGAGAATCTAATCAGAATGGTGTGTCATTACGCTGCTTGGCACATCCGATTATTTCTGCACAACAGAGAGTTCGAGATACTTCTGCAGGAACAGCCCACTTTGGTTAAACTTTTACTTACTATAATGAGTGGTAGTCCTTAGTAAATGAATTGGTCGAGACTTAAATGGGAGTCTAGTTCCGTGTGTCTATGCCAAGGCTTATAGAACGGTGCGATTATCCCAAGGTCCAGACCATGCGAAACTAAATCATCGCGGAATCATCGCGGAATCATCGCGGAATCATCGCACAATCAGCTGAGTAGTCTTAATCTAAGCAGCTTGCTTTACTTTACGGATTTAGGAGGGTTAATCTTCCTTCGGAGCTCTCATTCTTTAAGAGGGTCTAAGCAGCAAGTCCTCACGGCCAAGCAGATCACGCCGGAACACAGAAGAACATTATCGGGCAACATTCATTCAAAAAATATGGCCTTCTTAGGACAAAATATACAAGCCCCCTCCATCCTCGCTTTAATTAGATGATTCTGCAGCCAACGTAGGCCAATCTCATTACTTGTCCAGCCATTAGGACTGACCTCGATCCTCCAGTCAGAAGGAGCCTTGCCATTCTCGTACCAGGCCTCCATATGCACCTTGCCTTTGAAAATAATACAGGGAGGTAGAGCCCATCCATTAGAACTAATAAATTCTATGGCAGTGACCCATTCCCGGTTCCCTGGCTGCACTGACCCGCCGGAAAACTCGCGCGTTTTCTTCGTCGAGGTAGCTCCACATAAACGGGGAACAGGCGTAAAATCTGCACTAGCGATTATTTAGCGGGGATTTTATTTCTACGGCCACACTTAGATCAACCATTTAACCTCTCCATGGCTTATCTAATGTAAATATGCTCCTGTACAAAGAGGCATTGCCTCTAATATACTCAAAGATCATGAGGGTAGTCCTCAAGGTATCTGACATTCAAGCGATGCTTGTCTACGGTGTGCCTCCGCCAACACATATCGTTGTCCACAGACTCGTTGCAGTAGTTGCAGTGACGATCGTCCAGGTGCACGGCTCGGAAGTGTCGTAACAGACCTTTGTGGCGGGAGTACTGCTTGAGACGCCGATTGTTAAACCCCGCAGGGTTTCCATAGCACTGAAAGCACGCTCGGGGCTTCGCGGCAGTTCGGATGTCTTCGCCAGCCTCCTGCAAGGCAATTTCATGCCGTGAGTGTGATGGGGTAAGAAGAGGGGATTCGGTTGGCGCAATAACTTCTTTTCTAGGGAGACTAGGCTTTCGGGGTTCTTTCACCGGAACGGTCTGTTTAAGCCGTCGGCCTCGTCGCGGGCCACCTTCTAGAACATCACAATAGAGTCGAACTGCTTCGGTAGCCTCGTTTCGCCGCTGCCACTCTGCTTCCACTGACAAGGAGGTAGGCCAAGTCATGAGTTTACCCAGCAGGTGAATCTGCTGTGGAAGGAGTTGCTCTTCAATTTGGAGCTGCTCCTTAGCCTCTTCGTCTAGAATAGCAGTGCCCGCCAGTTGCCGCTCAATATCAAGGACCGCCTGCTCCTCATCAAATTCCTCTCGCACACGTTGGCGGAGCGCATACAGCAGTCGATTCCGCGTGTTTGTGACTCCCCGTTTTAGTTTGTCAAGCTTATCGAGCTTCCGGCCAGTCTTTTTCTGACTGCGCTGAAGCTTTTTGGAAAACGCATCCCGCTTCCGTATAGCCTTCTGCAGCTCTGGATCGTGCTCCACCGTGGCCTTCTGCGCATCAGTGAGCTCTCGGGGCCGACGTCGGTCAATCCATCGTCCCATCCTAGTGACTGCCCTCATCATGGCCGAATCTGGCTTGAGTCCTCTCATCAACGCCTGCATATCAGTGTTGATTCGCCGAGGAAGGTAATGATTCAGGAACGTTCGGATATCCGCGTGCTTCATGATCAAGTTTTGTTTGGCGTCGCTAACAAGACCTAGCAGCCCCAACCGCCCTGAATCAGTAACGTATGACGGAAGGACGGACAAGATAGCATATCCCACACTTACCGCTTTCATTTAGAATGGTGCCGCCACCGTACCGGAACCGATGCGTAAACAATGACCACTTAAAGCCGGCGATCTCCCCAAAGGTCTTGAGCTGTCGAGATAGGGTACTTTGGGAGATAGGCTGATCGCGATGTATCTGAATCTTGCCGCGGACGCTTTTGACCTTGCAGAATACATAATGTTTAGCCTTGTCCCGTTTCAATGGGACCTCCATCTGCTGGCGGCCATCCTCAACCCACAAGCGTCGCAGGTCCTCCATGGACTTTATTCCCGGAACTCGAAATGCATCATCATGAAAGAGAATCCCGAGAAGGAACGTATGAGGGCTCAGCATCAACGACGGATCATAAATGATTTCGGGGAGGGGGAAGGTGTTACTGATAGGCCAGTCAACAAGGAGACTTCTAACGGGAAGAGCTGTGGAAAGAAGCAGGAAGCTACATACGCTTGCGTCACACCCATGTATTTCTTCGCAAATTTATACTTGATCTCCAGAAGGATTCGGGGCGGTCCGCCATGAGGATCCCGTTGGATCGAACACTGGAGATGCTGGTACTGAAGACGACGCATAGCATTGATCCGATTTACCGTAAAGCATGCCATTAAAGGGTAGAGACATTGTTGCATGCGCTGAAGACCAAGGTCGAACCGTTTCTCCATTGTACGTAGTGTTGTCTCCTGCAGTGGCACCACGTCCTCAATAAACATTGGGGTCTTTTCTTTTTCATCCGTATCTAATTCATACTCCCTTGCAATCCTGCGAATACTCTGGGGCAGAAACAGGTTAGCAACTCGTCCAGAATCGGGGCTGGGATTGATTCCAACCTTTCTCATTCGCCTTCCAAGCGCATCGTCCATGGGTTCCCCGGTAACCTTTTCATAGTGACGGAGGAATGACTTCCAATCGGTATCCAAAGACTTGAATTTCTTGATACCCTTTAGCTTCCGGCCATTCTTCCCTCGCCGCAAACGTAGGCACCAACGAAGGAACAGAGTCAACTCCTTTTTCCTTGCTTCGCGAAGAGCCGAAGCAGGGTTTGCCCACAAAGAATCTGGTAGCGCCCTGTATTTTTCATTCCTCTTTCGGCAATACCTGATAGTTTATTAGCTCGTTTCAAAAGCCTCACTGCGACCGTTGGGGTTTTAGGCCTACCGTTCCCATCTCTCGTCCATCCGCGTAATATTTTTTCTGGTGCCATCCGCGTAGCCATCATCATCACTGTCTGATGATAACTCACCATCCGAGTCAATGTCGGGGTCCGTGTCTGAGTCACTGTCAAAGCCACTGCCACTGCAGTCATCGTCACTGGAGCTGGTGTTCGAATCGTTGTTTCGTGTTGGGGCTCCTGACAGAGCAGTAGGCTTTCGAATTTTCTTCTGGGGACATCGTTGCTCAGGACTTCGAGAATGGCGGACGTCGACATTCAAATCATCGCCACTAGAGCTGCAGTCTGAGTCCGTCGCTAGGCGGCTGAGAGAAGGAGACCCTTTCTCACTCTTGTTAGACTTTCCCCCCGAAGGTCTCTGCATAGAGCGGTTCTGACGGGATCGACCTTTGTCTCTACGGCGAGTTGGAGGAGGCACATCGGAGTCTGTGACATCTGTGACATCTGTCTGCAAATCCACACCGGCTGCGTCGTCCGAGTCTAGACGGAAAGACGCACTGCTAGCGGTTTCGTCGTCGTCACTGCTACGGCCAGTGTAGGTATGGGGAAGGCGAGCCATGATCCAGGGAAGAGGAACCGACAGACGGTCTGGCAAAAGGAGGAAATAGAAACAGGACGAGGCGCCTGTCAACGATGGAGAATGTGATAGAGAAATGGCTAAGGGACGAGACGAAAGAAACGAATGGACGGGCAGAAGCTCGTTATTTATGAAAAAGGCGGCCATAGGGAGTGTGCTTTACTCTGAGAGGGGGGCGCCATTTTCGGTCCCCATCCTCAGAGTCTGGCCTCGAAAGGCGGCAAAGAGTCTCGCTGCAGCTTCGTTCAGCAAACAGCTTCAGCGGTCCTGTGTTAGGGCGGTACCAGTCACGTGCATTGAATCTGGTGCGTGGCTAAGCTGGGGTCGTTATGCGCACGGCGGCTGAGTCAGCGGTTGGGCCACGATAGCCGTTTTTGGCGTCATTTGCGGTCGAAAAAGGCAGCGCCTGCCCAAATCGAAATCCTAAGATAGAATAATTTTTCTTAAAGTATTAAATTTTTAAGTAATAATTTAAAGATTTTCTATATTTACTATTTATATAGTCTTATTTATTTATTAATTAATAATTTAGAAATAAGCTTAATAAATTATTACTAAAAAAAAGACTATAAAAAAAATCTTATTAATAAATTTTAAATAGATAATTAATAAAATAATATTTTATAAATTAATAAAGTCAATTATTAAAATTATAATCTAATTATTTTTAGCTATACTAATATATATTATTTATAAAAAAATAATTCTATTATTTATAGTAATTAAGAATTTCTTAACTAAATTTTTTAA